TTCTTCTCCGCCGCCGCCACCACCACCTCCGCTGCTCATCAGCTCAACTCATCACTTTATGTCTGCACACACACACACACACTGAGTTGAGTCCCTACCCCTCTCACCTGTCATTACTAATTATTTTTAAGCCGAGAATTCAAGTCTAGTGGCGTTAAAGTAGATGCCTGGGTGGATTATGACTTCGGAGATCACTTTAATTAGTGCTGACTGCAAACAGAAGGTCTACTCTGGTCTACCAAAACCACAGAGTAAGGGAAGTCGACAAATACTGCCATCATGTTTAAAGGCGGACACCCCCACCTTAAAATTGAGCTCCAATTCAATGAAAGAACTATATTATTGTTAAAAATAAGTCACTGAAGAATAAACTTAGCTAAAATATTAGCAAGGTTAGAAGAGCGCTTGAAAGGAGGTTGCGGCGTACCAGAACTGCGTAGTCAAAGAATCGAGCACCAGAACAACTGAGAAGAAAGAAGATGCTAGACATGCAACCAGTTTAGGCGGATTGCATATCAAAGCTGAAATTGAATAATGTCTCATCTTACAAAGGTTTCCTCTTCCTTTACCTCAATCTGGGTTCTTTTTGTTAGCATTGACTGTATTGAGGGCTTGGCTTGTGATTAGGGCCTTAACATAAGAATAATTATTCACTCTTTTTCATTCTGTATTTTGTACCTCGGTCGGTTTAATGTGACGTTGCCATCATCCAAATAGTCATCTAGTGACTAGCACACACACAGCTGTTTGCTCAGTGATGCCAAATGTGAAGTGGAGTTTGAACTCGCAGCCACACATGTCTCGATTGGGGCCTATTCTTTAAACTAGCAGTCTGACCATGAGTGAGGACAAATTCCTCTTCGTGTAGGGTCTTCAAGTAGGTGCTTCGAAGTTTTTTAAGGACGTGAGTTCGAGTCAGACACTGGATATTTTGGCGCGGTCTGAGTCTGTCTGACTTGACAACTCCTGAGGCCCAATCCGAGGGCGCGGTGCTGGTGTGTGAGGTCGCCAGTTGTTGGCTCCGCGCAGTCACTATCGCGTTTTCGTGAGAAAATAATAATTCACCAAATGCGAAAGAGTGAGAAAACAGTGCACCAGAAATTGCCTACACAGCCCTCCCACTACCAGGTAGGCAGATGGACACGTAATTTATTTGTTCATGTGTGTGTGTGTTCACCGTTTGAATAATGACGCGCGACCCGTATAGGAGACAGATTTGATTAGTGCCAATGCATGACCCTCCTCTAGGCTGATTAATCCGCATCCATAATTCCACCTTCTTTTCAACGCAAAACCAGTAAGATCCTATGAATAAAATCAGACAGGAATCATAAAGTTTGATTTGACATTTGGATGTTCCCAGAAATCAACTTAATTAGGGTGTCCAGTGAGCACTCTTGAGTCTGGAGTTTGAACATTATTTACATGCCCCAGCAAGAAATAGCGAGCGAGAAGACGATTTATGTTTTGAAATAAAATTTACTTACTGTGGTCTCCAACACCAAGCTCTTCCTAACCATAAATCTTGTTTGTCAAAGTGCTTTGGTCTTATGATTATATCATCACATTGGATGAGACTTCATTTCCGTATTGTGTCATTCGTTTCCACAATTTTCTCAAATGTGAGAGATCGTAGACTGGACGTGGTACTTGTCACATCATAGGTGTAAGCAACCATGTTATAATCCACCATTCATTCTTACCCGTTTCCAAATCAAGCGGTTGTGGTCCTTCAGATTCAACTCAGGTCTCAGTATAGTAGGGTTTAAACTGCTTCAAAATTGTTGCGTGGTTTGATTTTAGACTGTTATTTTGCCTACAGAACCACGAATGGCTAGGGTTTCTACTTTTTGTGGAACTGTGTAAATCCGGATGCTATTTGACAAAACTTCTCGAAGTGTGCGCACATTTAAATTGAGCTTGGAACTTCCCGTAACCTCTTTTGTGGCTCATTCCATAAAAGAAGATAAACTAATGAAGAACATGCGTTGGCTCGTCACTTGGTATTTCCAACTGCATCCTTCTATTCAGTTACAGCAAAATTCAGTAGCTCAGTGTCTGACAATAAAAGAGACTTGCGAACGCATGTAACTGGATTATATAATACGGCTTGTGCATTATCGTGCACACAGGTGTGCTAAACTAGGGAACTTCAAAGGCATTTTACGCTCACCACTGCCGCTTGGTAGGGCAAAGCGACGAATGCGAGTGCTTGGAACTATAATAAACGTTGATTAAATCAGACATTAATTCCTGTAAAGATATTACCCCGTTTAAAAGCAGCACGTTTACAATATACAACCCCAAATGTTCCATTCCACATTACTCGTTGCAATAACGTGAAAGTTAATAAATCATAACTTACGTATTCGCGTAAGCACACCTAAAAGGTGTACACACTCATCACGCCCTCTTTATATAGAAGAAAGCTAGGTGCGCCTTTGCTAAATTGAATGGCATTCCCTCTTGGATAGCATCGACATCCACTCCATATGTCCGTCTGGACTGTGGCTGCGCTGAAAGTTATTAGCTGTCCAAGTTATCAACCATAGTTGTCCTATGCTCGACTCCAAAAAACAATATTGTTGGTGCAAAATTAAGCTCGTGACTACAATGAACTCGAAGCATGATTCCATTGAAGCCTTCGTTATTGGTGCAGTCATGCCTACCTATTTCCAAATGTGCCAACGAGTCTAAAACGCTTAATTAAACTACTTTGGAGTAAAACAAATGCAAAGAAAATGCAAGTCTAAGTAGTACCAAAAGTACGATGCATTGCCCTATTTGCTTCCAGTTGATCGAACTTTTGCCATTGGACAAATTGAATATGGCAATCTCACATATCTTTTGCTTCTCGATGCAAGTCACTGATCTTTTATTTGAAATTCAGTGAGACTGTCACTTACAAGACATGGTAAGTTTTCAGGATACAAATCACCGCCTTTACCTAACCTTTCAAACATGGCATTGATTAAACTCAGCCCAAAAGCCGAAAACCACACTAGTAGGGACTTTGAGTTGCTTCTAAAAGTGACTTCTTCAGTAAAGAATCTAGGCTTAAATGACAGCCTTTCAAAAAGATCTAACAACAAGGCGAATATTATGCGTAACGCTAGGCTAAATTTGTTTTTAGACTTAACACAAACTTCAATTGTTAGTCAGTTATGCACAGAGTCCAGGAATTCTCTACGCCAAGCATTTATTGAAGCAATTTAGCAGCGTATTAATGGAATCGGAGTAAGGCACAGCAGGCTTAGAGGACACGACTTACAAAATTTGTCAGTTAAGAGTGCGTTTGATCGGCGTCTTGGCTGTGATTTCGTTTACCCAGCTACAGACCATGAAAGTATGCATGATTGACGGCTTATAAAAACATATCTATGATTCTGCACAATGCCCGTGGGAACAGGCTCTTTGTCATTATGGTCGGGTTTATGACCATGGGAGCCTTGGACGTGGGTAATTTTTCGGGTGCGCACGTTTATGGTTCGGTTAGTCAAAAGGTTCATGCCGTGGCAACCAAATGGACTTCCTTGTGTGTAGACACTTGCCGTGCTTAATCCACAAGCTTTAAGATCAAACCCTGCGTGACCAAAAAAGGTGGGCCAACTTGTTAGGCTGTATTTTGTGCAGAGCGGTACGTGGCCAACGCCGAATCGCGCATGTGCTCTTTACTTAGTAACCTTAAAGACAAGTATCATGGGGTGTCAACTAACTCACTTCATTGTCAGTGAAATCCAGACCTAGGCAGAGTATAAAATTTTTACCAAGCACCTTAAAAGTGTTGCATTTAACAACCGGAACCTAGAATTTTGGACCCCAAAATGTATTCGTGCCTTCCTTTCTTCAGGGTGAAGGAAGTGTAGAATACACCCAGAAAGTTGTGTAATATGTTATTTCATTTTGTTGTTATCACTCTGACTGTAAGAAGGGCGTTGTTAATTACCGGCAGATTGAATGAGTCAGGCGATTTGCAATGGGTGTACCTACTTTGTGGGGAAATTCAGCTAAATTAAATGGTTTAACTCTTGTTCTCATCGTGTGACAACTAACATCCCTAAGCTTGCCTTGTCTTGAATGCAGACACTTCTAGCAAGTCACGCACAAAAGACTCAAATATAATACATAAAAAAGAACGATTTTGTGCAAGAGTGTCGAACACCGCATTGACTGTCCACTGGGGCGGAACCAGGAAACCACGAGCCACCACCCCTAAAAGGGATCGATGAGATGGCGTGCACAGGAGATTGTGACTTGGGCTTAAAAGCGATGTTTTTATTCGGCTGTGCATCTTTTCGCCCTTAGATGGACAAGAACTACAAGGCCATCTTTCTTCGGTACAGAACAATTTAGATGGAATCTAAATGGTGAAACATTGCACACTATTGACTATCGAATGATCACATTGATTTTTACAAATTATAATTAACAACTGTCGCTATCTAAGTTAGTTGAGTTAGAATTTAATAGATATAGTTGTTTTAATGCAAAAATCATGACGCTTTGGGAAAACAAATATACTTATTGGTGTATTTCAGTAAGAAGCGTGGCAGGAGCTCAAACAGTGTAACAAGCACCTCTTCGGGTCCTCTTCAGAGAACGGACTTATCACGGTTGAAATTTTAAACATTGTCATACAAACTCACAGCTCCACGACTCATTCCCAAACTCTGGAATTTGGAATATTTAACCTCTCTTAATGTAGTCTTCGTTGGTTCCTAATTCCTTAAGTAGCTCTAAATGGTAACAAATAGTCGCATAATACAACAGTCAACTGAGTAAGTATCATTATCCTGGAGACAAATTAATGTATTCATGCCTCATCCGTAGATGAAATGAATCGGTCTGGGAAGAAAGAACCAAGGAAACGTAAAATGTACACAGATATCAGCTTTGTTTTTAATTTTTTTGCGTTAATTTACCCTCGGAGTACCACTTTTTTATATTTCAAGTTGTAAATGCACATTCCAGCGGACCATTAATATTGCTTGGCCATAAAGATGAAACAGGAACCTCGGGGTGTGGCGTCGGTTATCTTCGGGGCTAATGAACGGGGCACGCACCGGCACCAGGAGCCAAGCGGGCGCCAAGTGCACTGGCCCTCGTGTGACGTCCGCAATGCAGACCCTGGCGACGCCAATCGCTTCTCATTTCAGAAAGGCGCCGAGCGGCAATTTAGGATAGCGCGTCGCAACTCTTTTTGGAAGGCTTCCAATCATGGATGGCACTGTCTAAAGATTCACGTCGACTAGTTTCAAGAGTATTTCCTGCACATAGTTGCAGTTGCGTCAGTAACCCCCAGTCCAGCTAAAAGTACCTCAAACAGCCAACATTAGGTGCCCGTGAATGTGAGATACCCAGCACAAGGAGCTACTGTGGAGATATCTGAGAACACACTAGCTGACCAAAGGTGACCTCGTGAGACATCTCAAATGTCTATACACTAATGATTGCTTCAAAACAGTTGTGGAAAAATCGGGAGCATCAAGCTAGCAGTGGGATACTAAATGCTACATAAAACCCAAAATAATGAGAAAATCAGTGGAATACGCGGATGAAACAAGTCTCCCTCAATAACCCCGTATTTTACGATTGGTCTCTTTATGTCTGCTGCACGCAGTCAAGTGTTTTTGAAGCGTCTAAATATGCTGGACGCGACATCAAAGCGCGCATTTTTTCCTAATGGTACCACAGGGAGCGTTTTATTTGTCTTTGATGCCAAACTATTAAGGGGTGCGTATGTGTGTGTGTGTTGTTCATACCTCATCTAATCACCATGAAGAAGCATTCTATGGGACACGCCTCCTCCATCCCTGGTCGTAAATCATCGCGATCCTTATCTTAGGTAAAGGCATAACCGTTAGCAATGAGTTTGTTTAAACCGGGCTGCCACCTGGCACTTCCTTGGCATTCCTTCCAAGTGAAGTCTTGTAACACTGTCAGATTGGCTTTTTCTAACGTGAATAACTTTTTAAGCAGACACTTTTTGTAGTAAGAAAGGAGATATGGAGATAAAAAATATGAATAAATCTCAACGAATTATTGGGCTACTTTTGAAGCTAGCACATCCCACTGTAACTGATCATGTTGTCAGGCTATTGTACTGGAAATGGGGGTTACCGAAATTCCAGTTATAGGTTTCAAGGTTGATTTAGTAAGAAGGTGCCATATTTAATTTGCTACAAGTAAAAATCATGTTCTCTATTGGCTCCTCTTATAGTAACAACTAGAAATCTGCAAAAAAAGAAGTGAAGCATGTAAAAACACCCATGACACGCTGATACTTCTACATCAGCCATGGCAGAATCACTTTGTGAAATTGCTTGGACTGTTTTTACAAGTAATTTTTGTCTGTGCTCTAGATACATCTACCGATATACAGTTGTCCCAGATTCCAGTTCGGGAAACTGGACTAATGACAGACCAGAGGAGTCACCAAAAGGCACTCAGCAATCCTTACTGCACCACCAATTTAACCCAACTTCAATTCGCTCTTCTGGATTCGCCTGTCTGGCCGTTTAGTCAAACATTTTCTCATTCGTGGCAATATATTTACTCCTTCCTTAAGACCTACACTTAAAGTAACTTATCTACCAGGATGATATTCTTCTTATTCAACTTTTTTTTATTGATCTCAAATGTATATTCTACCCTTTAAATGATTTTCAAAAGTAAGACAGCTTATCTGAGAAGTTCTGAAATAATGCAAATTCCTTTCCCTAAAGACAGGCATGGTCGTTACACTTGTCTAGAAACGAAGGTCTCCCCGAAGCACTTATTCCCAGGGAGGGAACGGTGTAGAGACCAAATACACCCCCAGTTATTTAGTCCGCATCAACCAATAGATAAATCCGGTTCTCAAGGTAACACTGCAGTTTCATCCTTTTTAGGCTTGTGGCGCCAATATTGTTGTAGTGACGTGTATCGGCCCCTGAGATCTCTAGTTGTTTTTAATTTAAGGATTTAACAACGAACACGAGGCATCTGTTCAAGCAAAGACTGTTAATTGCTTAGATTTGCTGGAAAAACGCCCTATTTATACATTATCAGAAAGGGATCAGTAAAGGCAGATAAAAAGTAAGCCGTTCTAAATAAGAAGTTTAATTTTTTCCTTGCATAAGTACAGCAGAGGTTCACCGTTTATCAGTTTTAAGCTGATGGTCAAATTAAATTAGCATTTTACGTTTGTATAGGGATATTTAATTGGAGATCATTCTAGTGATATGGACATTAATGAAATTAAACAGAGGATTAGTAGTCTCTGGTGTTTTTTAAACGACTATAAGTGACTATAATGTCCTTCTCAAAGACAGAATTTACCGTTTAATTTATAAAGAAAAACATTTGGTCACTGGAAACCCTACTACGTTGAATGAATAACGTGTGTACACGCTCGGACTGCCTCACTTTACAACGGCTTTGAGGTACGATGCTGTATCCTTACAACGATTCCATATCTACTTTGAACCAAAATTGAATTGTTTTATCAGACCTTGAATATTACGTGAAATGTATTGAGAAACGTGTGTGTTTTCCTGATTCAAACCATGGCCGCGGGAGGATAACATTAATAGGGTAATACAAGTTTTCTAAATTCACCAGTTGGAGATGATAAATTCCTCCCATGAAATTAGTTTTAGTGTTTGATCTTGCTAGGCTGACACAAACTGAAATGGTGAAAAGCGGATTCGCTCATTTGTTGACCCAATAGCTGGTCTTTTAAATGTTTTCGAATTCCATTAATACTGATGCCTTTTTGTGATTTTCCACATCGAAGTTTCATCGCTCAGAACACTTTATGGTCACGGTAAGTTAGCCTCTTACATCCCAATTTTTCTGAAACTTTTTCCAAGTCTCTTTTTGTTGCGACCTGTAACCTTTGTTTCATACATAGGACTCCGTTTTCGATAAGTTCATGCCAATCCATTGCCTTGAAGACCCTCTGATTGATGCCGTTGAACCGTTCATTCATTGTCGATCCCAAACGAAACTGCGCTTCTAAGTAAGGAAACCCATGTAGACGCAAGCTTAGAAAATAGGATTTCATAAATAAACGTAACGTAATGAGGGTTCTAGGATGAGACTGGCGGATATTTGGCTTATCGAATACAAATACGAATATAGGCATATTCTGAGAAGGATATGTGAAATTCCAATAGAAGTGTTTCATTAGAATGTCTCACAAACCCTGAAAGTTGACCATTTAGTGGTTTGGAACCAGCAATTCCACGGGTACAATAGGATTCAGAAACAAGGCTTTTCAGTTTTGCTTTCCCTACCCTCTTTCTTGAGAAAACTTCTATGATTTTGGTTCATGAATTGCCTAGGTTCGCCGCAGTTTGCGGCTAAATTGAAATATAGAGGTTGAAGCCCATTTGCACCTAAGGCCTTGTCTGCGTGAATCTACTGCGAGTTTCCAAGACAACAAAACAAACCATGGAGCCGAACTCAAACGTAGAATTTTTACATGAGACATTACGTCGCCTTGACAACAGTTTAAACGTTAGAAGTCAATGGTACGCATGTTCAAATTCGGAATTTCTGGACCGGGACCGACCCTGTGGCACTCCATGCACTGCCGTCCATCGTTTATTCAGCGGACGCCTTACGAATTATTAGCAGTTTGACGTATTTACTTGTTCCTGCGGATGAAGCATGTATATTATCCAATTGAAGGCTTGGAATATCTAGGGGGTTCCTCGAGCCAAATACTCATGTTACGCATTTGTTTCAGCACATGATTGCTCCAACTATTGCATGAAACAAGGTTCAATTTGCTTTCTTGTCTCTGTTTGAGTGAAGTAGCAACAGCTTAAAAGTTCTACTCACCACTGCAGCATGAGAGATGACCACTCTTCACTGCCTTATAACAGCCTACACTTTATTTGGACATCTTTCCAATTGTTATTAGATGATTTCAAACTTCTCTGGGTACTGTAATTTTTGTCGTTCCATAAATTTGCAGCAAGCTATTCCACGTAATTCCGGTTCTTTGCGAGTGACCGCACGCTTACCGCGGTGACCATAAAGATAACATTTATTATTACCTCGGGCATAAAACTGCCATGCCAGGAAAGATTGTGGTAGCGTCGGCATGATCTATGTTTCCGCAATTTCGTATCATAATCTTGATTATTATTGCATTTTACGCAATGTTTTGGATGGATTGCTTTATTCACCATGAGTGAAACCGGATTGCCAGTTATATCTACCACCCTTTGCATTTTAATCCCCGGTGGGGAAATGTAGCCATTCTGTAAGACAGTGTGAGATCCGTCCTGTCTTTTGTGTTCTCAAATGAAATGTGAGACGTTGAATTACTATTTAGAGATGTTTAATGTTTAAAATCTTTTATTGCATTGATAAATTTGCTTTGTTTAAATTATCCAAACCAGACTGGACGACGATTTAGGCCTCCTTGTGAAATCCGATAGCGTGTCGTGGTTAGAATTCAAACCCTCGACAATAACAGACATTTCAGGTGGCAATCACCATCATCTTAAATCCATGGCACCCGATTATTAGCACTAGTCCACGTTTACCCCTGGTCGTTTACATTCATTGAAATGTGGTTTTATCGAGTCACATTCCGCCTCTCAGACTAGTGGACTTCGAACTTAATCGAGTCTGCCTTTTTGTGTTGTTGATTTAAAACTTGTTATGATTAACCTTCCGCTTCGCTGGTCTCTTATTTCATTAGGCCGATCACCTGCCTGATCCGCTGCCTTACTTTCAACCCAAGAACAGCAATTCATTTTAGCTTATAATTTTCTACGGCCTTTTGTCTTAGCAATAACCAAGGTAGCTTCAGGCATTCAATGAAGTGCCTACGACCGGAGGTACATCACTTCAATGATTCGACGTAAATCAGGACCACCTAGACATAAACGAGGCTGGTTTGTGTGCTGATGTTCAGAAGTAATGAATGAAAAATGAGATCGTGTGGTGCATCATTAGTTTTAACATTGACATTTTATTTAGGGTTTGAAGTGGCTTGTGCATTTAAAAACAAACGTGAGCCCTAGGATCTGCTCTGGTCTTAAAATTTGGCCGATTAATGGGCGTCTTAGATAAAATCTGGGCTGCTTCATATTCCATATTATATTAGGCCACCAAAAAGCGCTCATTGGTCTGACGAACATCAATGATCGAGTAATGAAACCAATAACGGTTCGTGAGGGAGGCTGGTACCCTAGCAGTCCACTGTACAGTTTCTTTGCTAAAGTGAATCTACATTTTTCCGAAGAGTTTC